ACAGATATCCACCTGCCTCTGCCTCCCAAGTGCTGTGATTAAAGGTGTGCACCTCCACAGCCTGGCTGAAATCAGCCCATTTTCAGTAGTGAAGTACTGTTTATTATGTGTTAGGTGTGTGCGCAGTTGTCTGTATGTGTGTGTGATGTATGTACTTGTTAGAGTGGGTGTGTATGTGTGTACGGAGGGCAGAGACTGATGCTGGGTGTCTTTCCTCAATTGTACCACCTTTATTTTTTGAGACAGGGTCTCTCACTGAACCTGAAGATGATCAATTTGAAGGGGCTGGAGAGATGGCTCAGTGGTTAAGGTACTTGTTGCTTTTGCAGAGGACCTGGGTTCAATACCCAACATCTATATGATGGTTTTTAACAATCTAAAATTCCAATTCCAGAAGATCTAATGACCTCTTCTAATCTCTGAGTGTACTATGCAAGTATGTGGTACACAGACATAAATGATACACAGACATTCATGTGAGCAAACACTCATATACATCAACTAAATAAATACAAAATTATTGTTTAAAAAAAGATGATGGGTTGGGGATTTAGCTCAGTGGTAGAGCGCTTGCCTAGCAAGTGCAAGGCCCTGGGTTCAGTCCTCAGCTCTGAAAAAAAAAAAGGGCTGGAGAGATGGCTCAGTGGTTAAGAGCACTGGCTGCTCTTCCAGAGGTCCTGAGTTCAATTCCCAGCATCCACATGGTGGCTCACAACCATCTGTAATGAGATCAGACATGCAGGCAGAACTCTGTGTACATAGTAAATAAATAAATTAATTAAAAAAAAAAGATGAACAGTTAGGCTAGGCTGGCTGGTTACTGAGCTTGAGGAATCAGCCTTCTTTGCACTCCCACCTGAGCTCTGGAGTTATAGGCACAGCTGCTTCCTACATGGTTCTGAGATTCTGAACTCAAGTCCTCATGTTTGAATAGCAAGCGCTCCACCAAACGGCGCCATCTCCCTAGATCCAATAATTCAACAATTTATAAACCACAGCAGATTCTACACCAATGCCATTATCTACTACTAGGTTTTTCCTAATCATTTAGAGTTTAAGTTTTTAAATTCTGGCACGTGCGCGCGCACGTGTGTGTGTGTGTGTGTGTGTGTGTGTGTGTGTGTGTGTGTGTGTGTTGTGATGACAAGAGCACATATGTATCACAGCATGTATATTGGAGGTCAAAGGACAAACTTTATGGAGTCAGTTCTCCTTTAAACATTTATATGGCTTCTGGGGGTTGAACCCAGGCTGTTATACTTAGTGGCAGGCACCCTTACCTACTAGGCTATCTTGCCAATCCTTTGTAATATACATTTTTTGTAGGTTCCCTGTATGAGAGAAAACATGTGTTATGGTTAGCTTTCATTGTCAACTGAACACAACTTAGAATCATTTGGGAAAAGTCTCAGTCTTGGATGTTTATGTTGGGTTGGTCAGTAGGTAGGTCATTGGGTTGGGGGACTACCCTAATTAGGTTAATTGATATAGGAAGACCACTGTGAGTGGCACTAATCCCTAGGCAGGGGGCCCTGACTGTTTCAAGCATGGAGAAATGGAAGGGCTGAAGAGATGAGTGAGCAGGGGACAAGGACTAGAGTTCAGTTCCTAGCATCTATGTTGCAACTGAATGCCGTTTTCTGACTTTGCAGTCATACACGGAGACACTTGGCACTCACTCTTACACACATACATAAAAATAAATATTCTGTAAGCAGAGGCAGAGTTTTCTGTCCTGACCCCAGTTCCCAAATACCTGGCAGCCACTTCCTAATTACCACATAGAGAATTATATAAATCATAAATGCTTGGCTGATTGTTCAGGCTTATTGCTAACTAGCTCTTACATTTAAATCGATCCATTCCATTAATCTGTGTATCGTCACGTGGTTGTGGCTTTATTGGTCCTCTGGCATCTTGCTTCTTGGGAGGCTGGCTTCAGTCTCTCTTGACTCCTCTTCCTTTGAGTCCTCAGTTTGATTGTTCCACCTAACCTTATCCTGCCTCAACACAGGCTAAACAGCTTTATTACCAATGAAAATAATACATATTCACAGTGTACAGAAGCTTATCTCACAGTAATAGTCCACTTAAAAATGGCAAAATCAAGCTGTACACAAGCAAGTGAGCACCCATGTGTTCATTTATCTCTGCTTGTGATTTGGTGTATTGTTAGAAATAAGTTCAGGGTCCCAAAGAAAGAGACCACCATTCCAACCTTACTCTTAATAAAGAGGGCATGCTTGGAAAATTGAACACAGATAGGAAGTGCACTTGGGTTTTTTTGTTTGTTTGTTTTTTGTTTTTTTGAGACAGGGTTTCTCCGTGAAGTTTTGCTGCCTGTCCTGGATCTTGCTCTGTAGACCAGGCTGACCTCCCTCCTCAAATTCACAGAGATCTGCCTGGCTCTACCTCCTGAGTGCTAGGATTAAAGGCATGTGCCACCACCGCCTGGCTTGTACTTGGTTTTTATTCAAACTTAGGTGGTGACTGTCTTTTCCCCATTGGCTGGGGTCTGATCTCAGTCTTGACTGAAAAGAATTGGCAAACAGAAAATGAAGGATCATGGAGTCACTGCTCTAGGCCATCAAATTCCTGGAATACAGTAGTGGTTTTACTGAGTGCTGATGGAAATTAAAACATTTGAATAAAGTCTTACAAGTAGGGAGAGTAAAAAGATTTGAATTCCTTGCCGTAAACACAAGTTTCATGATATTTGATACAAAAGTTTTATATTTGATGTTCTTACAGTAGGATATTTCTTGCTGTCTTGAGTTCCTGCTGCCTAGACATCCCAACATGATGGACTTCTTTTCTCCCCTAAATTGCTTGTTGATGAGGTATTTTATCACAGTAACAGAAATGAAATTGTAACAGGGCCCCAGACCTTAGTAGTCTTAGTAGACCTTAGCACAACTGACTCCATTGTGGAAGTACCATTCAGGCTGTAAAACTCAGCATGTAGACAGTACCACCTGCCCAAACTAAAACAAGGGCGGAATCCATCAAAGTCCATAATTCTAGGAGAGTCTCTAAATGTACTAACCTTACTTTTTGGCTTCTGTAGTTCTGCTTCTGGCTAACTGTTCTTGTTAACTAAAATATGTAAACTTAGAACATGGTTTTTTTTTTTTTTTTTTTTTTTTTTTAAAACAAAATGAGAACCAAGACCATCAAAGCCCATAATTCTGGAAAAGTCCCGAAATGAGGTGTGTCAACACAGGATTTTTTTTTTGTGCTTAAAATCCCACCCTGAGAAAGGCTTGGGGCTACACTGGGATCCTGAACACTCAGTGTAATCGCCAGCTGACTAATAGACTTTGTTCTGGCTTAAACCCACGTCTAAGCAGTCTTCTCTGGTAAATATCCCACAACAAAATGAAAACATGCAATATTTGTCTTTTTGAGTCTGAGACTTAACATGATCTCTAGTTCCATCCACTTTTCTGCTAATAAGCATTGCCAACTTTGAATGAGGATTGTAGTCTCTGGAGATTTTGGTCAGACTAAGAGCCTATCTGTTAGATATCAAGGCAGTTGAATGAAAATGGGCACAGTAAAGAAACCAAACTAGCCACTCCAGGGGTGAAAAGGATTTTGTTTTTTCCAAGCTGCCAAAACTGTCTCCTGAGAAAGCAAGGAAAAGTGCCGGGGGAAAGATTTCCAAAGTTAAATGAGAATAGGAGAAAGGGGGCTTGTGAGCTGGGGTGGGACTCGTGAGCAGGCACTGAGGGAGCCTAGCCTAGCATTGACCTTGACAAGTAAACAGGCCCCACAGTCAAATGTTAAGTGAAGAGCCACCTGTTCTCTTGCCAGAGATGAGAATGACTCCCTTTTTTAGCAAACAGGAACTTTCTTCAAGTCCCCGAGAGAATGGTGGCTTTTGTCTAAATGCTGGGCCTTTGGAAAAGGAATTTCTTGGGGGACCAGACAGTAGCCATGGGACTTCATTAATTCTAAGAGAAATTTTAATATTGAGTGACTAATTGCAGAATTCTTAAATTTCTTTTTATTAAGAAGAGAATCTAAATTTTCATTTTAAAATTCTGCCCTTCTAACTGTAATTTGAGTCTTAAAAATATGATATTTTAAAAAGGACCTATTCCTGGTGCAATTTATTTTACATTTGCTCTTTTGCCTATCTTTTTCATATTCTATTTCAAATTCAATATTAACATACAAAACTTTATATTTATACAGACAATTTTGACTTTGAAATTACATCACAACACAAACTGTTCTCATTGATGCAACATTTCTTTCATCCTGGAAGAAAATCTCCTAAAAGATCATTATGTATCCAGCACGTTGACCTGCATATTTCCTATAAACATAATGTAAATGAATAACTACCTATTTCGACAAGTTTCCCCATAGAAATGAATTAGAATTTTTAAGGTAACAAACAGTCAGCTTTGGGCGCTTAACTACAATCTTTTAAATTCAAACCCAGCACCCTTGCCATTAGGATTACAACCTGTCCCTTGTGAAAGACAGACTTCTAGGACCCATCAACCAGTGCTTGCAACAAAATAATTTCAAACCAACTATTTTTACTCAAAAGCAAGGTGTACAACACTGTAACAGATGCTCGGACTCTGAAGAATCACAGGTGTGATGTATTGTTTAGTTCAGAAGTGAGAACCACATGAAAAAAAAAAACCTTGATATACAGTGAATGTCAGATGTAACTCTACAGAGTTCCCAGAAGGGTGATGAGACACGGGAGGCCGGCTCAAAAAGTGCCCAGCAATCGAGACAGGCCAGAAGGACCAGAGCCCCTCATCCACGCCAGCACCTGAACTCAGGCCCTGTGGCTAGCTTTGTACCAGCCAGCTGCAAGGGGTCACCCCTTCATTGCGCTACACCAGCTCCAGTTCGCTCTGACCTCCTCGCTGCAGGAACAACGACAATCAGGATCTGAGCCTAGACTCAAAGGCCCGCCCCCAGCCCACCCAGAACACCAGACCCCGCCCTCGCCCCGCCCACAACGCCAGGCCCCGCCTTCTCCGGGTTGCCTGCCGCGCAGGCGCAGAAGCTCTAGTGTGTGGAAGCTGCGGCCCGGCGGGCGGGGTGAGTTGGGGCCCAGGCTTTGGGGTCACTGCAACCCTTGTGTCTTCGCTGAGGCGGCGAGGCCTCCTTGTAGGTGGACCAGCCTAGAAAGAGAGGTTTCCCACGTGCCCTCGCGTCCACATTCACAGCGGCGCCGGACGGCCACCGGGCCGAGTCCTGGCGTTTGCGGGAAGAGCCGGGGTCGGGGAGGGAACCAGGCCAAGTCCAGTCTTCACGGTGACCCGGGATCTCTTGTCCCCTCGCGATCTCTCCTTGCCCCGCACTCCACTCTGCTAATTTGGGGTGCATCAGTGGCCTCCCGAGAAAGGGAGCCTAACCACGGCTTTCTGGCAACACCGAATATTAGGGGTCGATCCTACCCGAGCCCACTTCTGGCTCCCGGACTTATGCAAGTCACTTTTACCTCCATCCAGTTTCAAGTGTAAAATGAGGATGATGAAAGTGACGTATCTCAGAGTAGTTGGGAGAAGGTTCTTGCGTGTTTTGAGCCCGGGTGTCTAAAGGAAGATGTTTACGTTTCCTCTTCTCACGCTGGAGAATAGCCGCCCAAAACTAAACAGTATTTGGACATGGGATGTTTGTAGCCAGCTGAAAAGCAAAATATTAAATATGCTAGCAGTACATCCTGTGTTAGAGAAAATGCAGGTGCTAGGTAATGTTTAAGTTAAAAACTGAAGCTGATGGTTCGGCAGGTGAAGGCTTTGGCTGCCAAGCCTGATGGTTCAGTCTCCGGAACCCACGTGGTGAAAGAGATCCTCACCGATGCAAATCGAAACACGGAAACACGTGCACATCTTTACACACACACACACACACACACACACACACACACACACACACACACACGTAAATAGATTAAAAAAATTTAAAAAATGCTGTAACACTTGATGTTTAGAAAACTGCACGGAAAAAAAAATAGCCAAAACATATTTGTGTAAAGAGTTAACAATCAGGCCTGAGGCTTCTGTCATTTGTAGGCTCTGCCTGCAGCCTTGGCCCTTGTTTGGCACCTGGAAACTTGGAGTTTGGGCGTGTTCTGATGTAGTAAATGTTCTATGCCCAACGTTATATTTTATGCCAAAATTACCAGTTACCATACAGTTCCCGGTCTCCAAGTCTCTAATGGGTTCCCCTGAGCTCAGATTCATAGCTGCTTGTTCCTTGTGAGGAGGAGAGTGTGTGCTTACCTGAGAGGGAGAGAGCTTATGGAAGTTATGGAAAAGAGTCCTTGTCCATTCTAATCAGGTTGTATACTCATTCAAATGCTGTATGAAATGTGCAAGAGTAAACCTACAACCATGTGCTGATTCCTTTGAATCCTTCTGTTGGCCAAGAGAGCCTTAGAGAGTTCCAGACACAACTTTGATAATGGAAAGTTAATGGATGCAGGTTTGTAAATTTAGAGATAGAAAGACCAGATTTGCCATCTCATTGTGGGGAGGTCGGAGGATTGGAAGTTAAGGAGATTGAAAAGGGTTTGAAATGGCTAAGTAAAGTGCACAGAAGTTGTTGAGAGAGAGGTGTGGTGGATAAGGCTAGGCCCAGTGTGCTTTCTTTCAAGACTTTCTGAATACATGAGAAAGTGATGACTTTGTGGTCATCTAGAATTGACTTCTGCTAAATGGGTGATGTAGTGTTTACTTACCTCAAGTTAAAGGTGACCATGTGCTTTTCTTTAGTCAGCCAATATGCGCTTCAGGCAAAGCTTTAAGAACCAGCTCTGTATTAGAGCTTTTCCCCTTACCCCATTCTGCTGTAGGAATCGGAGCATTTGCTGAGATGTGTTAGCAAGGACACCTGCATATACCACCCCCCAACACACATATGCTTAAAAAAAATCATATGGGGAAAACAGTATTAAAAAAGAATGAAGAATTCTAACAGATGAAGTATAAATAATTATTAAATCTTCATCCAGAAAACCTCTATAGAATACACTTGGGTCAGATAAGGAAATTAGAATATGTTAGGATAAAAGATACTAGGAAAATTTTTCCTATATATGATAGTGATGTCATGTAGGAGAATTGATTTTTTTTAAAGCACCATGCTTAAGTATTTAGGGATAAATTTTCATTATTTCTACAACTTATTTTCAGATACTTTTAAAAATAATCATACATATGTATATATATTTGGGCTGGAGAGATGGCACAGTGCTTAGAGCATGTGCTGCTCTTGAGGAAGACCAGAGCTTGGTTCTCAGCACCCATACTGGGCAGCTTACATTTGCCTGTAACTCCTTGCAGGAGATCTGATGCTTTCTGCCCTCCACCGGTACCTGCATTAACATGCACATACCCATGGACATACTCATACTTTAAAATTTAAAAAATTGTGCATTTCTATCCAGGTGTATAGGTGCACACCCTTAGTCTTAGCACTCTGGAGGCAGAGGCAGGCAGCTCTGTGAGTTCAGGGCCAGCCTGGTCTACAGAGTTGAGTTCTAGGACAGCCAAAGCTACACAGAGAAACCCTGTCTTGAAAAACAAACCAAAACAGCAAAAATTGTATGTTTCTTTACTGATATTTAGATAAAACAAATACAGCAAAGTGGTAATACATGTGTAATCCAGACAAGGTGTGAGTACTCATTATATGGTTCTTTTAACTTTTGTAGATTTTAAAAAATTTTTCATAATGAGAACTTGGAGAGAAAAGATGGCAGCTTAAAAGCAGGAATTAATTTTTCTGTCACTAGTCCACTAGGTAGTGCAGCGATTAGGGCTCCTGACTATTAGGTTTACAGTTTTTCTCCCCAGTCCAGTGTGAATCTTCCAGCTGCTACTGTCAGCATTGATGACAGGGTGAGGAAAGAGCCCATTCTAAGAAGTAGTTCTTATTTCCTTGATGAAAATTTCCCCTCTGAGACATGCATGCAGGGGGCATGTCTTAGTGTTGAGCAATTTTTTTTGTTTGTTTGTTTTTTTACTGTGCACTGAGTGGCTTTACAGCTAATATTAGTTAGTACTGAAGGCTGGCAAGCTCAAGGTGCTGGCAGATTTGTCTGTCCTTGCTACAAGCAAGGGTAAGGTAGACCCCAATTTAAAAAAGGTCTAGTTGTCTTGGTGTTCTTCTTGTTACCTCACATAAATGCCAGGTTTGCTCTCTCACCTACTCTTGTTAGGGCTCATCTCCAAGCACTACCACACTGTGGATTAGATTTCTGCAGAGGGGTTTTCAGACACTTGGCGCGGGGTGGGGTGGGGTGGGTGGGTGGTGGTGGTGGTGGGTGGTGGTGGTGGTGGTAAAAACAGTCTGTAACAGAGTGGTTGGAGTGTGCCATTTGTGTATTGACCTTTTTTTTTTTTTTTTTTTGTATGGCAGTCCTGGGGCGAGAACCCAGGGTTTCATGCATGCTCTACCATTGAGCTGTCCTCTTAGTCCTGTGCATTGGTTTTGAGGTTTATTTTAGCTGATTTGTTTCCCTTCTTTTTCTTCTGTTGAATTATAGACCAATCAAATTTGAATGAGCATTAAATACCTAAAAGTTTAATTTTGAAGATTAAAGTATTGTTATTTTTCTTTAAACTTTTCAGTAAATAACAGATGCGGGTAAAAGATCCCTCAAAAGACTTACCTGAGAAAGGCAAAAGAAATAAAAGACCGTTGCTACCTCATGACGAAGATTCTTCAGATGACATTGCTGGTAAGTTGTACGGTCTGATATCTCAGAGAGAGGTTGGGGTAAAGAAGGAACAGTAGATGCTTTTCAGTCAATATGTTCAGTACTTTATTTTCACCATTTTCTACATAAATCTGAGAACTAGCGTGTCTAGTTCCCCTCACAAAACCATTGTTGGTGTTATTGGGATTTTGTTTTAAGTTAGAAGTATATTAAAATTGTCATATTGTTCTTTGTCTTTTCTCATGGCTAGAGCTGTCCTGGAACTTACTTTGTAGCCCAGGCTGGCCTCAAACTCACAGAGATCCTCCTGCCTCTGTCTCTCTAGTGCTGGGATTAAAGGTGTGCACCACCGCTGCCCACTTAGACTTGCGTTTCCTGAAAATGAACTTGGAATCTTTGTTTTCTATTCTTGTTATTTAATAATTTGGAGGAAAGAAAGGAGGTTTTGGCTTTATATCACCATTTGCAAAGTAGAAGGTTTCCATGTAGAGTTTTTATTTTATTTAAAATATAACACACCAGGCTAAGTATGGTGGTACATGCCCTTAATCCCAACATTTTCAGGAGGTAATGGCAGGCAGATCTCTGAGTTTGAGGCTAGCCAGAGTTACATTACTGGTTTTTACTTATTTAATATAAAAAACTGTGGAAACTGGACTATTACAATTTTATATTCAGGAATATTCATCTAACCTATTTATCATATGAAATTTAGATAATGATATAATTTACAGAAACCTGAAGGAGAATTACTTAAAAATATAAAGAAAAATTATTTACATTTTCCCATAAAATGTTATCTTTAGTCCATCCACTTATTTCTAAGGTCACCAATGATTTCAGTTATACAAATCTGAATGGCAGCATCAGAATATTTATGTTATCCTGGTCAGAACCCATCCCATGGATTATGGAGAAGATATCTAGAATAGAATGAGTTTTCACTTTAGAATATTAAATTGTAAAGTTCATACAAAGTAATGACATTTTGTAAGCTGTTGCTCTGGGCGGGCTGGTCATTCATCAGCTTTCCCCAAATGTTCCTTTCTTTAATGACATGGGTCCTTCCTATTCGAGTTCCTTTTTTTTTTTTTTTTTTTTTTTTTTTCTTTTTGAGCCATGGTCTCTAGCCCTGGCTAGTTTCAAACTCACTGTGTAGCTGAGGCTAAATCAAACATCTGATTTTCATGCTTCTTCCTCCCAAGTGCTGGATTATAGGCTTGTGCCATTATACCTTGTGGGGTAGTGGGGTGCAAACCTGGGGCCTTGTGCATGCTAGGTAAGCATTCAGCTGAACTGCTTCCTTAGGCTCCTGGAACTAGTCCTTTCATGTCTGTTCTTATGGTTCGCCCTTGATGTAAAATTAGGAAATTTAATGTTTTATGTATTTCATTGTAAATACCTAGTGAGGAATGACATTCATGTCTGAATTGAATTAATAATAGCTAGCTGCACAACTAACCTTTCTAGTTAATTAGTATATGGTTGTGGCTTTGTAAATGTAGTTTTGATGTGGATACCTGAGTGTTCAGGTATTTGGGGACATGTAAGTATTAACTGGGCTCTTAGGAGAAGAATATAATTATTTGTATTTGTGCTTAGTTTTATTTTGTATTTGTGCTTAGTTTTAGCCATTTGTCTCTATATACAGTGGAAGCTTTTATAAATGATATTTAGGGACCAGACAAAAATTTGTCATGTGAGAATATTCATTAAGAATTCTGAAGCCAGGCAATGGTGGTGCACGCCTTTAATCCCGGGACTCAGGTGGCTGAAGCATTCAGATCTCTGAGTTCGAAGCCATCCTGGTCTACAGCGCCAGCCTCTCCAGGAAAGCCAGACCTACACAGAGAAACCCTGTCTCAAAAAACTAAAAACACAAACAAACAGTCAGAGCAGGACCATGGAAGCAGGAACTAAAGCAGAGACCACGGAGGAACACTGCATACTGGCTTGTTCCCTGTGGCTTGCTCAGCCTGCTTTTTTATACAGCTCAGGACACCTTGCCCAGAGATGGCACTGCCCTTGTGGGCTGGGCCTTCTCACATCAATCATTAATCAAGAAAATGCCTACAGACTTGCCTACTGGCCAATCCGATGGAGACAATATCTCAATTGAGGTTCTGTCTTTCCAGATGACTTCAGCTTGTATCAAGTTAATGAACTAACCAGTACTCTTGCTCATGGTAGTGCTTTCGCCTAGCAGAGAAAATGTTTTCATTTTGCCCCATATTATTCAGTAGGTTTAACATGCCAGCACATCAGTTATGCTGTCAGTGTGAATCATGTGAAGAAGGCAATAGCTGAGAATCTGTGGTCAGTTTGTTCAGAGTGCTTGAAAGAGAGAAGATTCTGTGATGGACAGCCAGTACTTCCCTCCGATGTTTGGTTGTGCCTCAAGTGTGGTTTTCAGGTAAGGAGGTATTATTTATATGTCTGTGTTTTCTTTTTTTTTTTTTTTAAATGCCTACTATGAGTTGGTCTTCTGGTGATATAGGCCTTAAAATAGATTCGTTTCATGTTTAGATTGTCATGCCAAGGTGGACTTATGAATGTTTAGGATTAAGTAAATATATGCTATGTTTAGAAGGTAATCATAATAGTATAGTTCATAAATAGTTTGAAAAGGAATCTAATGCACTTGTTCTCATATCTAGACCTGTTTTTATCTTTCTTTCTTAAATTTAGGAAATGGATGTTACCTTTTAGATTCCTTTTTCTCCATTCCTTTTTACCTTTTTTTTTTCATTAATTTACTTTGTGTGTGTGTATGTGCATACAACACATTTGTGAGTGTCAGAGGATGGCGTACTGGAGTCGCTTCTCTGTTTACCCTCATGTATGACCAGGGATCAAACTCAGGTTGTCAAGATGGGCAGCAGGTACCTTTACTCATTGATCTATCTCACCAGCCCTAATAAAGGAATTTTTCGCTGAAATAAAAGTTGTGGCACACGCCTTTGATCCCTGTAATTAGGAGGCAGAGACAGGCAGATCTCTGAGTTTGAAGCCAGCCTGGTCTACAGAGTGAGTTATAGGACAGCCAGGGCTGCACTGAGAAATCCTGTCTCAGCTTCCTGGCTTCAGAGACCAGGGATGCTTCAGGCATTATGTGTCACACAGCAATCGCCAAAGCTCATTTTGCAGATAGACAACCCTTTCCTAGACTCTAGCGAGGGATTTTACCACATTGGCCCTGTTTCCATGTTCGGTGGGCTTGAGGTGGAGGACTGGGAAATAGATGTTTGGGGTGGGCACCCCTGGGTTAGCAGGATGCTCAGTGTCCCATAGTATATAATATACAGGACAGCAAATGGCATGCGTTCCTAAATGACAGAGAAATCAATCTCCTGTAAATACTTAATGAACAGTAAGTTATCTACTTTACAGATAATGAAATTTGGTAAAAATTTATGTTACTCTTTGAAACTGTTCTCCCTTCTTAAAACCCAACCTGCTTAATTACAATTTAAGATTTGATCAATTTGAAAGAAACTTATATGTGAATCATACAAATAACATTTTGTTCATCTTCAGGGATGTGGTAAAAATTCAGAAAGCCAGCATTCGCTGAGACACTTCAAGAGCTCTGGGACTGAGTCCCATTGTGTTGTCATTAGCTTGAGTACGTGGACCATATGGTAAGTTAACTTTTGCTAGTACTTTATCTGCTAAAAAATACTGAGATTTATGAGGTAAAATAAAAATGTAATATCAATGTATACATTTTTCTCTTACACACAGTCTGTGGGATAATTTAAGAAAAGTAATTTTACCCGTGGACGTAAAGCTTATATTAAAAAAATAAATCCTACTTATCTTTCACATTTTCTTTGTACCATAAAGAAAATGTGTAATTTGTACTCTGTCTTGTTGAATTTTTTGTAACAAACTAATGCAGAATTCCAGCATCCTAAGAGGAGAAAGGTTCCTTAAGCACTCGGGTGGTTTGGGATTCTCTAACCCATGCAGTGATGGTTTTAAGATATTATTGGAGTCAAGTATGGTGTTGTACGGCTGTAATCAGAGCACTGGGGGAAAACAGGCAGGTGATTGTGAGTTCCAGGTCAGCCTGCACTCTATAGCTAGACCCTGTCTCAGAAAGACCAAAAACTGGGGCCAGAGAAATGGTTCAGAGGTTAAGAGTGTATATTACAGGGCTGGAGAGGTGGTTCAGAGTCCTGCTGTTCTTCCAGAGGACTCAGGTTCAATTCCCAGTACCCACAATTGTCTGTAACTCCAGGCCCAGGGATTGGATGCTCTCTTCTGGCCTCTGAGGGTACTGCATGCACATGATGCACATATATTCAGACAAATACTCATGCACATAAAATAAAAATAAATAAGACTTAAAACAAAAAACAAAACCAGGCATAATGATGTCCCAGCATTTGGGAGGCAGAGACAGGTGGATCTCTGTGAGTTGCAGTCTAGCCCAGTCTACATTGAAAGTTCTAGGACAGCAAATGCTTTATAGAGAGACCCTACTTTTGTTGTTGTTGTTTTGTCTTATTTTTTGAGACAGGGTCTCTCTTTTTCACCATGGCTGTTCTGGAACTCAACCAGATGGTCTTGAACTCACACAGATCTGCTTCTGCCTCCTGTGTACTCGATACTACCCCCAAAGAAGCCCCACCAACACACCCACTCGCATACATACACATGAGTTGGGTACACATATAAGTTGGGCTATATAACTGCTGTGCCTGAAGCCTTGTGACATTCTATGGCATTTAAGACAAACTGCAAAATTTGAACAGTGAGGATCTGTGTGAACTGTCTCTTGCTTATTTGCCCATCTTCTCCTTTGAGTTCCCTATTTCTATGCAATTTAAAGACAGAATTGTTAAGTGCATACCTTATATGTAATTACTGAAGGTGCTTCATAACATTGGCTTGCATTTTATATTTTTCAGGTGTTATGAATGTAACGAAAAATTATTGACACAGTGTAACAAGAAGGTTTTGGCTCAGATAGTTGACTTTCTCCAGAAACATGTTTCTAAAACACAAACAGGTAACTTAAGCAATTTGCTAAAGCAATTTGTAGTAAAATATGGTTCACAATTTGCATTAAGAGTTCATAAAGAATACCTTTGGGGCTGGAGAGATGGCTCAGAGGTTAAGAGCACCGACTGCTCTTCCAGAGGTCCTGAGTTCAATTCCCAGCACCCACATGGTGGCTCACAACCACCTGTAATGAGATCTGGCACCCTCTTCTGTGTACATAATAAATAAATAAATCTTAAAAAAAAAAAAAGAATACCTTTGACCCTCCACACTCAGGAGGCAGAGACTTGCAGATCTCTGTGCATTTGAGACTCTCCCGGTCTACATAGGAGGTTCCAGGCCCTCCAGCATTATATATTGAGAACCTACCTCAAATACAAAACAAATCACATCTTTGATTTCACTGGACTTCTCTCCGTCTGTAATTTGTGTGAAAAGACTGTCATGCATTTGTAGCCAGCAGTCTCATCGTGCTATCATGTAAGGTGTGTACATTTCTAATACGAGAAACAGCAGTTTGTAGCTAGCACAAGCTGTAAAATGTAAGAGTCCTAGTTTAAATTTAGTCTCCTGTACTATCAGCTGTGGGCGTCTACTCCTTGGTTTCCTTATGATCAAATTGGGATCAGAATTCTATTTTGAGGAGTGTTGTGAAGCTTGACAGTAATACGTGGTGAAGATTTGGGAATGATGTTTGTGAACACACTGGACTCGTTCCTGACACACATTTGTGGAACTGCTGTCTATATTGTGTGTTGTATAATTGCAGTGCTGTTCTGATCCTAGCTACTCAGATAGAGGCCGGACTTCTCTGTTGAGGGATCAAGTTGCCTACCAGTCTGCTTACTGGCCCCAGTTTTTAAATTTTCAAGGATTTACATTTCTTTGGGCCTGTGAGATGGCTCAGTGGGTAAAGATGCTTTCTGCCAAGCCTGATGCTTTTGAGTTCAATCCCTGGGACCCACATGGAGGGAGGAGAGTCAGTGTGTGTGAGTACACATTCCAGGGCACTTGTGGGGAGCCCAGAGGACTACCTGTGAGAACTGGTTCTTCCTTTTCACCATGTGGGTCCTGGGGACCAGACTTATGTCATCAGGCTTGACAGCATGTTCTCTTACCCCCTGAGCTGCCTTGGTTGCCTTTGAGATGCCTTTGAAGAAATGAACTGCCAGCAACTGAAAGGTTTTATAAAAATATAGTTATGATGAAAGTGCTGTGTTTGTTCCCAGGGCCTTGTGCAGGATAGGAAAACATTCTACCACTAAGTTACATCTTCAACCCTTTAGTTGTCGTACAGGACAAAAACAAAGAAAACCCCGTTGTTTCCAGTTGAATTCCAGCGTGTAGTTGTCTTTGTTAGCTACCTGCCACTCTAAAGAGGCAGTTGTGGAGAAGCCAGAGGAGGAGGGCTTCCGGACAGCAAAGGAAATCGTTGATTCTGTTACTTCTCTATTGAACTTACTCAGCAAGCATTTGTAGGATTCCCGCTTTGTCTCAGGTATGCCAGTCATGGCTCCATTTCTGCCGAGACAGGGGCCCAGGGAGCTGTGGTGAAAGACCTTGGGTTTTCAGCACTGCGTTCGGCCTGCCTGCTGTCTCTTGAGAACTGCACGTTGCATTTGCTTTGTTGCCGGTAAGGACACATGCAGTCAGTTGATGCTAGCAGTGACGGGGGAACTATGTTTCTGCATTTCTTGCCTTAGGTTGCCTAAGGCTAAGAATAAAGCCAGTGTAATAGCCATTCAGTGGTTCAGATTTCTTGAATACTTAATTTCAGGAAGAATATTAGGGAGGAGTATCTTAGTTTTTCATTGCTGTGACAAAAAAGTTATGGGAAGGATTTATTTTGCTTCCTTATTGTCTTACGGTGTCAGAGATTTTGTCTATGATCAGCCTCCTCCATTGCTCTGGACCTCTGTTAAGTTAAAACATCATTGTAAGGTTTTTTGTTTCTTCCCCAGACAGGGTTTTTCTGTGTAGCTTTGGCTGTCTTGGAACTCACTCTGTAGACCAGGCTGGTCTTGAACTCACAGAGATCTGCCTGCCTCTGCCTCCCAAGTGCTGGGAATTAAAGGTGTGTGCCACCGCTACCTGGCTCTTTTTTGTTTTTTGTTTTTTGAGTCAGAACATCATTGTACTATGAGTATGTGCCACAGCAGAGTTGTCCACCTCATGGCTGGGAAGCAGAAAGAAAGAGAGAGGGAATGAATTAGGAAGGGACCAGGGCAACATACAGCCCACAAGGACATGTTCACAGTGACCTACTTCCTCCCCTACTAAAGTTTCTGTTACTAGGACATCCCAAATAGCAACACTAACTGGGGTGCAAGTGTGTGAGAGATCAGTGAGAGTTTCATATTTGGATTAGCTACTTTTCTAATGCCATGACCAAAAGCAACTTAGGGAAGAAAGAGTTGATCTTGGCTTATACTTTCAGAGGGATTAAGATTAAGAGTCCATCATGGGGGAGGAAGCATCAAAGCAAGTGGCAAGATCAGGAACCAGAGGTCACATTTTCAACTGCAGACATAAAGTAGAGAGTGACCTGGAAGTGGAGACCTACTGTGAACTCTCAAAGCCCTCCCCCACTGACATATTTCCTCCTTCACTTCACTTCGCATATTTCCTACATCACTTCTGCGGTGCCAACCACTAGAGACCAAGTGTTCAAATATTTGTGTGTGACATTCTCCTTCAACCCACTGAGATATTCAGACCGTAACAGAACATGGGCTTTGAGTCAGGGGCCTGACATTCAGACGTCATCAGTCACTAATTATGTGACCTCGGGTGCTTTTTGTAGCCTCGTTTTTTCCCTTAGCACAGGTTGTTTTTTCCTGGTCTACTTTAGAGACTGATGGGTAGTGAATCTAATCCTTAGGGTAGTAAGGGACTGGAGGGATGCTCAGCAGTTAAGAGCACTCACTCACTGCTTCTGCAGAGGAACTGGGTTTGGTTCCTAGGACCTATATGGCAGCTCACAACTGTCTTGTTACTCTAGTTCCAGGAGGTCTGATCCTTCTTTTGGCCTCTGTAGGCACTGGACACATGTGTACATACATGAAGCAAAGCACTCATACATGAAGAAGATAACAAGACTTTACTGGGAGTTCTAATTGATGTTTGGAGCCCTCCAGGTACTTCTAAGCAGGCGTGTTCATTTGAAAAGGAAAGCCGTAATGGATGATCTTGGTTTTTTTTAGCAGATTTCTCAAAGGATGAATCATGGCCAGATGGAGATAAAAGAAATCACTTCAGGTGGTGGGAGACTAATCCTTAGTTGTGTTTGAGGAGCCTTGAGTAGCACCTAGGAAATGGGACTTCGGGTTTGAGAGTAAGGAGACTTTCACAATGAGATAGTTTTGAATTCATGGTTTCCAAAAGTTCTAGCTACAGTATTTCTCAGGCAGATTTGGTTTTGAATAAGATCCCGTGGCATGTTGGAAGAAATCTGTCAGACTCTGGTATGACATTTCAATGTATTTTAAGAAAATACTTTGGAAATAAAATATGAGAATTGCTATCAAGGAAGAATTTGGAAGAATAGTACATTTAATCATGAAGTTATTAAATAATAATTGTGAAGCCTCTATACAGATAAAATGCCACATACCATAATTCAAAGGGATATGTGCTTGGGTAGGAGGGAAAGAATGCTTGGGTAAGAAAACAAAAAAGAAATTTTTGAGATTGTATATTAATTGCAACAGTTCTCCCTTTTCCTCCCTCCAAACCCCTCCCTGCTCTCCTTCAAATTCATGGCCACTTTTCATAAGTTGTTATTGAATGCATATGTATTTATATATAGATATGTATTCCCAGTTATAACCTTTTGAGTCTATATAATGTTACTTGTATTGTGTTTTCCGGGCTGACCATTTGTCACTGAACAACTAGTTGGTGTGCTCTTCCCTAGGGAGGGCCTCCTCTGCTGCTCCCAGATTTCCTCAGTTGCCTGTCACTCTTTGTGTAGGAAAGAATGATATTAAAAAATTCTTATGATTTTGCACTAAGTAAAAATAATCACTGAGAAGAAAGCCAGTACCGGCTCCATAAGCACACTTCAAGTTATGCAGGGCCTCCTTTCTAATACTTTAATGTTACTTGTAGAAAATCTAGGCTAGTTCCCCATTCCCCTCTTTGGGTCTCAAAAGTTTGATGTCACTGCCTCTTTGCACTTTTCAAAAATGCTTGAGGCTTAAGGAGCTTTGGTTATGTGGCTTTTCTGTCAGTCTTTGTTAGAAGTGAAACTAAAAAGTTTGAATGTTTACTGAGAAATATCAGTAACTCCATGACAATTAACATAAATACTGTTTTTTAGGAATGATAAATACTTTTCAAAATTGAATGAGTAGTATTGTTTACACTTTTGTGGGGTGGGTTGGACAAGGTTTCTCACTGTAGCCTTGGCTGTCCTGGAGCTCGCTCTGTAGACCAGGCTGGCCTCGAACTCACAGAGATCTACCTGCCTCTGCCTCTCCAGTGCTGGGATTAAAGGAGTGTGCCACCATCACCCAGCAAAAAATAGCTGTATTGTCATATTTGCTCCTGTATCGGAAGTGCATCCAGCACAGGTCCAGTCATTAGACTGCCTCTGCAAGGGCTCACACAGGGACATGGGCACACAGAAAAACTGGGACTGGGTGGTCTAGGCTCTCTGATGGAGAAGCCCAGCAGCCTGGAAGCTCAGTGTATTTATTGAACAGAGAGGAAGCATTCTAGCATCCAGTTGAACAGGGAGGAAGGTTATGTATGGACAGCTGACTCAAGGAGACAGGTTTATAATAATATATGGCTGGATCAAGGACATAGGTTTAACTAATAGGAGAAGCAGTCCGTAGAGGAGCAGGCTTCAAGCTGTAAACATGGGGTTGGGGGCTATGGTGGGACATTTTGTGCACGGACTATCAACATTCACACACAAACCCCTGAAGAAGGTTTTGCTAACCCTTTGACACTCAACTAGGGAAGGCTTTACCACTGCCATGGGGCTGAGGTATTGAGTCC